AAAGATTTGTTTTTTTAATTATACTCCATTCGTCCGAAAAAGTGAAATCCCGAGATACAATGAAACCTGATTCACTTTGTTTATTCATTTTCACTGATATGAGATGGGTATACAATATTTATACCACCTTTTATTATGTATAGCTTTTTATATATACTTCCTCCACCCCAAAGCCGATGTCACCTCTTATTTATACTTTTTATTCTTATACCAATTTTTAATTAAAATGATTTTAATAGTGACGATGAGATTTTACACATTATTCAAAGAGTGATACTCATCATTGTGGGACAGAAAAAGTATAATTTTTTAAATCTATACTCCCTTTGTCCTTGTAAATTTTCTCATATAGTTCTTATTTGTTTTGCACTCTTCCATATATTTTCTAATTGTTTTTTTAATATTTAAAATACTACAACTATCTTCACTTACTCTATTTATTACACTCAAGTACCTCATTTAATATATTCCACCAATTGTCATTAGGGTCATGCTAGGGTTCAACCACATAGATGGCAGTCTAGACCTGAAAAAACAAACCTGGAACCGAATACCCAAACCAAATGATCCGAAACCGAAACAGAAATAATCCAAAAAATGAAGATCTGAATTATAACCGAATAACTGAAATGATACGAACCAAACCAAAATTGAACTAAATATATTTATACTCGATTCAAAACTGAAACAAATTAGATCCGAACCGATTAGATGTGAAACTGGTTAAATCCGAACCGATAAGATCTGAAATCGATAAAACCAGAAACTGATAAAATCCAAAATCGATTATATCCAAAATTGATTTTGCGTGACAATAAATATATTATATTTATGTACATTAGTGAGAAAATACATTTGATTTAAATTTTTTTATTTTACCATTTGAACTACTTATTTACTCATATTACTTACTCCCTCCGTCCCACAGAACATTTCTTATTTTGATTTTTAAGGGATTTAAGAAGAGTATATTTTGGTGTTGAATTTCCAAAAATGTCTTTTAATTTGATATGTAAAAGTAGATATGATGGGTAGGTTAATAGTGAAAAAGTGTGATGTGATAGTTAGGTTAAGAACTAGTAAGGGTAAAAGGGATTTTTAATAAAAATAAGATAAGTTTTTTGGGACGGAAAAAAGGAGAAAGATTTTGTCGGCCGGAAGGACTACAACCTATGGCTAGAATGAATTACCATATCTAAACAAAATGTTAAATTTTATGTTTTAATTTTTTTTTATAAATTGTTATAAAAATAAACCGTATGACTTCAGGTGCTACCAACTCTTCTAAAACCAATTGATGTTAGAAGAGGCGCATACCCTAGCCTTATAGTGCATTCAGCACACAAGCACCCACAACATTCGATTGTGACTTGACCCACAAAGCCTTCGCCATGGGACAATTGATGCACACACATGGCCAACAATCTCCCCCTCAGCAATTGCTCTCGCTGGGAATCAAACTCGTGACCTTAGCTTTGATACCACTTGTAGGACCTCAGGCGCTACAAACTCTTCTAAAACCAATTGGTGTTAGAAGTGGCGCTTACCATAGTCTTATAGTGCATTCAGCACACAAGTGCCCACGACATTCGATTGTGACTTGACTCAAATAGCCTCTACCACGGGACAATTGATGCAAACATGACCAACATAAACATTACAAGTTACATAAAACATGTTAGTTAAAACTCCTAAAAGCACAGTTAAAAATATTTTTTCACCCCCTCTCATGCAATATTGTATGGGTGGCCAAACTTTCTCAAGCCGGTGCTGAGGGGCCCTCGGGGATGGGGTGTTATCCTTTTTGTATGGTTGGCCAAACATGTGCCTTGAATTGCATTTAAAGAAATTCCCGTGTATAGGAGTTAAAAAGTATAAAATGCCAAAATTGAAGTCCAAAGTCTTTTAAAGACCAAATGGGAGTATAATCACAGCGTGTTGTAAGAGTGCATATTGGCAGTGTGATTTTTAAAAGTGATGATAGTGTAATATGTCAGTGCGGTCAGTCAACCGTCGGCGATCTGCGATGGTACTCTGGTGGTCGGCGGCGAGGAATGGCAGCGTGGCGGTGATAGTTTGACAGTTACAATGTAAGTATGTGGTGAGTGTTGCAATGAAACAATGACAAGGTAAACTCTTATTTTCGTCTAAAAAGACTTATGACTCCTTTTTTTGTATTTTCATAGTTTTTACTCCTATATAGGGATTATCCATTGTATTTAATTTCACTCAAGTTTTATCTAACTCCATTCACTTTCACTCAATATCAACATATTTTAACCAAATTTTATGAGATTTAGTAATCTAATTATATTAAGGTTATATCAAAACTCAATATATTTTTCTTTCATAATTTGCAATCCAAATTTATAAAAGATGACTAAAAAGATAAAAAATAAAAGATATGTAGGATGAAGGAAGTATAAAATAATATGAGATGATGAATTGATGATAGATTGATAAAAAGTAACATATATGCAAATCTATCCAAAACCGAAAT